GTGATAGGGGACCTGAATGCTAAAGTAGGAGAAACTTTTGAGAGGGTGTGGTAGGTAAGTTTGGGGTGCCAGGTGTAAATGATAATGGGAGCCCTTTGATTGAACTTTGTACAGAAAGGGGTTTAGTTATAGGTAATACATATTTTAAGAAAAAGAGGATAAATAAGTATGCAAGATATGATGTAGGGCGAAATGACAGTAGTTTGTTGGATTATGTATTGGTAGATAAAAGACTGTTGAGTAGACTTCAGGATGTACATGTTTATAGAGGGGCCACAGATATATCAGATCACTTTCTAGTTGTAGCTACACTGAGAGTAAAAGGTAGATGGGATACAAGGAGAATAGAAGCATCAGGGAAGGGAGAGGTGAAGGTTTATAAACTAAAAGAGGAGGCAGTTAGGGTAAGATATAAACAGCTATTGGAGGATAGATGGGCTAATGAGAGCATAGGCAATGGGGTCGAAGAGGTATGGGGTAGGTTTAAAAATGTAGTGTTAGAGCGTTCAGCAGAAGTTTGTGGTTACAGGAAAGTGGGTGCGGGAGGGAAGAGGAGCGATTGGTGGAATGATGATGTAAAGAGAGTAGTAAGGGAGAAAAAGTTAGCATATGAGAAGTTTTTGCAAAGTAGAAGTGATGCAAGGAGGGAAGAGTACATGGAGAAAAAGAGAGAGGTTAAGAGAGTGGTGAAGCAATGTAAAAAGAGACCAAATGAGAGAGTGGGTGAGATGTTATCAACAAATTTTGTTGAAAATAACAAAGTTTTAGAGTGAGATTAACAAGTTAAGGAAGCCTAGAGAACAAATGGATTTGTCAGTTAAAAATAGGAGAGGAGAGTTATTAAATGGAGCGTTAGAGGTATTGGGAAGATGGAAGGAATATTTTGAGGAATTGTTAAATGTTGATGAAGATAGGGAAGCTGTGATTTCGTGTATAGGGCAAGGAGGAATAACATCTTGTAGGAGTGAGGAAGAGCCAGTTGTGAGTGTGGGGGAAGTTCGTGAGGCAGTAGGTAAAATGAAAGGGGGTAAGGCAGCCGGGATTGATGGGATAAAGATAGAAATGTTAAAAGCAGGTGGGGATATAGTTTTGGAGTGGTTGGTGCAACAATTTAATAAATGTATGGAAGAGGGTAAGGTACCTAGGGATTGGGAGAGAGCATGCAAAGTTCCTTTGTATAAAGGCAAAGGGGACAAAAGAGAGTGCAAAAATTAAAGGGGGAGAAGTCTGTTGAGTATACCTGGTAAAGTGTATGGTAGAGTTATTATTGAAAGAATTAAGAGTAAGATGGAGAATAGGATAGCAGATGAACAAGGAGGCTTTAGGAAAGGTAGGGGGTGTGTGGACCAGGTGTTTACAGTGAAACATACAAGTGAACAGTATTTAGATAAGGTTAAAGCGGTTTTTGTGGCATATATGGATTTGGAAAAGGCATATGACAGGGTGGATAGGGGGGCTATGTGGCAGATGTTGCAGGTGTATGGTGTAGGAGGTAGGTTACTGAAAGCAGTGAAGAGTTTTTACGAGGATAATGAGGCTCAAGTTAGAGTATGTAGGAAAGAGGGAGATTATTTCCCAGTAAAAGTAGGCCTTAGACAAGGATGTGTGATGTCACCATGGTTGTTTAATATATTTATAGATGGGGTTGTAAGAGAAGTAAATGCGAGGGTCTTGGCAAGAGGCGTGGAGTTAAAAGATAAAGAATCACACAAAGTGGGAGTTGTCACAGTTGCTCTTTGCTGATGATCTGAAGAGAAGTTGCAGAGGTTGGTGGATGAATTTGGAAGGGTATGCAAAAGAAGAAAATTAAAAGTGAATACAGGAAAGAGTAAGGTTATGGGGATAACAAAAAGATTGGATATCAGATTGGAGGGAGAGAGTATGGAAGAGGTGAATGTATTCAGATATTTGGGAGTGGACATGTCAGCAGATGGGTCTATGAAAGAGGAGGTGAATCATAGAATTGATGAGGGGAAAAGGGTGAGCGGTGCACTTAGGAGTCTGTGGAGACAAAGAACTTTGTCCTTGGAGGCAAAGAGGGGAATGTATGAGAGTATAGTTTTACCAACGCTCTTATATGGGTGTGAAGCATGGGTGATGAATGTTGTAGCGAGGAGAAGGCTGGAGGCAGTGGAGATGTCATGTCTGAGGGCAATGTGTGGTGTGAGTATAATGCAGAGAATTCGTAGTTTGGAAACAAACACATATGCAGTTCAATGTGATCCTTTATTGGCAATGTTTTGCCCACACAGTGGGCTTTTTCAAGTCACAAACAGATCTACCTGGGTTGAAAGGTATGTGAGTATTTATAGTCAGGTTCAGAATGTTGAGGTCAGGTGGAGAATGCTGCATCTGATGATTCTCCACCTGACCTCAACATTCTGAACCTGACTATAAATACTCATGTACCTTCCACCCCAGGTAGATCTGTTTGTGACTTGAAAAAGCCCACTGTGTGAGCGAAACATTGTCAATAAAGGATCACATTAAACTGCATATTTGTTTATGTTTCCATTGTGTTGGTATTTTATACCATTTATTTTCATCGTAGTTTGGAAGTTAGGAGGAGGTGCGGGATTACCAAAACTGTTGTCCAGAGGGCTGAGGAAGGGTTGTTGAGATGGTTCGGACATGTAGAGAGAATGGAGCGAAACAGAATGACTTCAAGAGCGCATCAGTCTGTAGTGGAAGGAAGGCGGGGTGGGGGTCGGCCCAGGAAAGGTTGGAGGGAGGGGGTAAAGGAGGTTTTGGGTGCGAGGGGCTTGGACTTCCAGCAGGCATGCGTGAGCGTGTTTGATAGGAGTGAATGGAGACAAATGGTTTTTAATACTTGACGTGCTGTTGGAGTGTGAGCAAAGTAACATTTATGAAGGGATTCAGGGAAAGCGGCATGCCGGATTTGAGTCCTGGAGATGGGAAGTACAGTGCCTGCACTCTGAAGGAGGGGTGTTAATGTTGCAGTTTAAAAACTGTAGTGTAAAGCACCCTTCTGGCAAGACGGTGATGGAGCGAATGATGGTGAAAGTTTTTCTTTTTTGGGCCACCCTGCCTTGGTGGGAATCGGCCAGTGTGTTAATAAAAAAAAAATACTAAGTACACAGCTACCTTTCACACAACACTTGTAGCTTCCAGCAGGTACTACATCTAGGTGTACAGGTTTTATGGTATGTATATCAATAACAGACTGTGCAGTGAAGACACAAGTGCAACACTTCAAACATTTTATTCATGAAATTTTTTTTCCCCTATTAGCTCTGACAAACATCTAATGGGCAAAACTTTTCCTTAATATGTCCTAATTGTTGCACATATGTCTTCATTTACAGATACCTGGATATGTCAACTGATGTGGGTCATGTTCTGGGGAAGGAACTAAATACGATCCCATTGGAAATAAGCCACAATGCTTGACTTCCATAGGTTATCCTGTGTTATTAACCCTCCGGCACCACTAAATCAAACAGGATTTATATAGTATTTAGATTGCTAGAGGAAAGCATGTAACTGAATGGTACTGTGTGTGTGTTTAGAAAGACATTTAAGAGAATGCCAAGACTCTATTCTCCAAGAAAAAAGCACAATAAGTTAACAGGCTCCTGTGTGCTGACTAACATATGTCTATGGCAAGAAGGCTGGTGCTTCCATAGATGCTACAATACTATATAAACATATACACGAAGAGAAACTAAGAAGACTGGTAGATTTCTATGATGTTGTAAGCAGAAGAGTACAGCATGTTGAAATTACTGTAGCAACATTATTCAGTGTGAGATTCAACAGCTCAAGAAATACTGACATAGTTGAACCTTATTCTAAACAAACAACTAGATGTTCTGAGTGAGCTTAGACTTCTAGAAATTATATAATAGTGAAATTACCTCAGTACCTGCTATCCTACATATGAGAAATATTTTTTCTTTCTATCACGAACATAAAATTTTGTAAAATAACCTACAAAACAGAAAATGGATGAGGAAATATTTCTAGCAAGACTAGAGAAACACAGTGGAAAATGTACCAAAAATACCAGAAATTAAAGGAATGTAAGGAGAGGAAAATACTAAGAATTATACAGTAATATATGACGAAATGATTTTTAGGAAATGTAGAGCAAAGAAGATTGACAGGAAGATGGAAAGAAACACTGAGGAGAGTCAAGAGAGGATAGGAAAGCAAGAAAATTGATACAAGAGACACTAGGGAATGGGAAAGAAATGGAGGCATAAATAAAAGGAAATAAAAATATATTATGAGAAGGATTAGGAACAAATATTTGATAACATAATAAAAAGTCAAGGAAGATAAGAAGTGAGACTGTAAAAAATGAGGAAATGTGTATATAGTGAAAAGACAAAAATACTGTTAAAGAGGAAGAGGACACATGAAGCTGGTATAGTCAAGCTTCAAGTAGTGAAGCTGACAATATTCAAGCTTCAAGTAGTGAAGCTGACAATATTCAGTCTAAAATTTGTATTTAACATTAAATGCTGATAAAGCATATTGTTCCTATAAGGCATTACTGAAAGTAAGGGAAAACTGAACATCTTAACTATAGTACAAAAAAAAATGGCTAAATAATATGCTATTTATGTATGGGAAAAATACAAAAAATTAGAGGAAAAAAGAAGAAAAATATTTAATTATTTTTAATTTTAAAGAAGCATAGTGATTTATAACATTTTTACCAAAGCTCAGATGTAGCTGACCCTTAAAATCAGCAACACATATATAATAAAATAAGTATTATAGTTCATAAAGTTACAACACAACAATACAAATAATTTCCTTCAACATACTGCAATGATCTGTGCCCGAGATCCTGACTGATGCTAAACTTATATCAATGGAATCTTGCATGGCTACTGAAAACACTTCAGCTTCATGTGACACATGGATGTAGAGTTGCAACACAGTGAAATGTATGAAGCACACAGCAAAATGTATGAGGCACACAGCAAAATGTATGAAGCACACAGCAAAATGTATAAAGCAAGGCTAACCTGATTGTTGTCACTGTCAGAGGGTGTGGGCATTGCAACCAGTGCCTGACGAGATGATGTGACGGTGTTGGCAGAATCATGGTGATGGTGGTGGTGGTGGTGATGGTGGTGATGAGGCAACTTAGCCACACTCAGTCGGCGAAGAGGGTGTAACGTGCATTGTTTGCTGTGCTCAGCACCAACACCTGCACCACACCCACACTCTACACCACTCTTGTTGGCTACTGCTGCTGCTGCTGCCGCTGCACGAGCCACTCGCTGCTTCTCCATTAGCTGTGCCACAATGGCCTCCACTGTCTCAGCCGTCTGTGTACCAACATTTTTATTACCATCACTGCACAAAGTAATTATCACTAGAGTATAAGCAGCTCAACTTACATCAGAATATGTATAGCAATAAACACAAACAACCATATTATTTTCTGCTATCCACTGGTTCTTATCTTCTAGACACAGTACTGGGCTGTATATGTTACTCTAATAGTGTACAATGTGACAAAAACTCTTATGAAATCATATGTCAAGTACACAATAATTGTTAAGGGTACTGGGAATTGTTACCAATCATCCAAAAGTAGGTACTGTAACTTGCTGAAGTAACTTATTCAGCTCAGGGGGACATGAAGGTTACTCATTGCCAATACCCAGCAACATACACAACAAACACAATAATATAATTAGCAAAAATAAAGCAAGACTTATTCATGCACAATTTCTCATGCAGGTAGCAATATATCTTACCTTGGTCACATTGCTTGGAAAATGAACGAAAACTAATTTTTAAAGGGTGTCAGCAGTAAGAACAGTCAATTATGGGGGTGATGCTGATGCCAAGAAGCAAGATAATTTTAAATGGGACACAAAAGTTATAATTAGCATAAAAAAAAAGTACTGCAGGGATGTCAAGTAATGGGTCAGCACAAACAAGGTTGGTAGGTTGTTGGACATGCTGATAAATGAAGATGAGCAGCAACAGCTCAAGTCATACATGTTCTCATACACCATTTTAAAACATCCTTTTTACGTCATCAAGTGCATATATTAGTATTCGAACATTTCCATAGAGAGGCACCTAGAAAGCACACACGCCCACAAGTGTGCACGTGCACACACACACTTGTGCAAGTATGTGCATGTTCACAAGTGCGCACACACACACACACACACACATATATATATATGCACTCTCAAATACACAAAAGAAGAGGCTGATAGGAAGAGAGAGAGGACAACCACATAAAAGATTATCTAAGGATACACAACAATTCATTATCCTAGACCTTAACATATCCTAGGTACCAATGGAAGCCCAAATCATTGTGTCATGAACAGAAAGGGATTAATCACTCCTGCACCACAGGGCAGTCTGGAGCATACTCTGCCAGAATAAGCAGAGCAATCAGAGTAGATGGTGAGCTTGGGCCTACTATGGCTGCCAATCAGAAGAATAGTGGAAGTAAGTGAGGAGATCAACAGTAAAAACAGAGACCCTGCATTGTACCTGAGTACAATACAAATTTCATCAAGGATCACCAAAAGGCCTATCTCTCCATCACTCTTTGATCTGTTGGTAAAGGCCTTGATTCTTGAAGCATAGACAAAATCATTCTCGATCAAAGAAGTTCATCAAAGTCATTACTCGTACCATCCAAGTTGGGCAGGGAATGAAACCAACCTTCTTGACTGTTGACATATCCAGCCATCAGAGCTGGATGTGAAAAGGTTTTGAAAAACTCAACCACCCAGCAGAGAAACCACGCATCCTCTGCCACAAAGACTGTATCATAAGCTACACTGCCAAACATCACAAACTTAACTGCTTATGGTACAAATCTAGTAGGAACTCATCAGAGGCTCTTAAATGCAGTTGCTCAGGATGCCCCACTGCACAGCCAAATCCTTAGGTGGTGAACAAGATCAATCTAACGCAGCTGGGAGGAGCAGGCTGAGGACAAGATATTACAGTCATACTTAAGTCTGGATTAGCTTGAGTATGACACCTTACCTTTGATATACTTTTGATGAGTTCCACGAGTTTTTCTACTCCCGGAGCCCAGCCATGGGCCAGGCTCGTCTGGTGCTTGCCTGCATCTAAGCTTGCCTGCATCCAGCCCAAGGACTGAGAAAGCACTTTCCAAAATTTCAAGGCCCACAATTCATTCATTCATTCTGAATTGCTTAGGTTGAGGGGAAAAAGTAAATTGCCATGTCCAGGCCTAATTGATAACCATTCCTTTATAGTCAACATGAGGGGGTCATCTCTGCAATATTGTCCACTACTGCCTATAGACAATGACAGGACACCTTTGGGGTGGGCAATGAGTAAGACACCCACATATAAGGAGGCCTTCATGCCATCAAAGAAATCATCATACAAGCCTTTGTTGTACAGTGATGAGAAATTCTGAATGTAATATTGGCTCATTTTAAAATAGATGGAAAAATACAATATACAGATGACAGAATGATAATTTTTTTAATAGTATATGTTAGGCCAAAATTGGAATATGTAACTCTGGTATGAAATATATACATGTCCTCTAGGTAATATAAAAAAAGGTTGAGAGAAATTTAAGATTACTGCTCTCATAATGCTCTCACTGGAAGACTGGAGAGGAGTTAGTATAACTACATAAATATAAATTTATAAGATATGTGGAAAAGTGGACAAGGAAGATTTCTTGGTGCCAGTAACAGGGATACAAGAAGCTATACTTTTAAACTATACAAAAAGCAATGTAGAAGAGATACCAAAAGACATCTCTTTGCAAACAGAAGTAAATGGCTGGAAAAAATTATACAATAAATTGTATTAAAAGTACTAAAATTTTCAGAAATTAAACAGTAATCTGTATTAAAACTACTAGAAATTTAAAAACTAGTACAGGTTTCTATCGCTGTATGTGACATCACTTAATGTGAATTCGCCAATGTGCTGCTTCAATTCTTTCTTAGAAATGTAACACACAGAATTTAGGGAGAAATATTGTCTAATAAAAAGATTTGCTCTGCTATATGTTTGATATTCCTAGTTTGTCAGTTATGTCTCTCTTCTATTGGTGATTCCCTATATCTGTTATACATTTTCTGCATGTGACTGGTACAATTTGCAAAGCATACCAAAGATCATTATTATGTGGAATTTAATGTTGGTGGAAGGAATGAATCTAATACAGCTGCCACAGGTCTGGAATGCATTTATTTTATAAAGTGGCAGACACGTGTACACTAAATTTATAACAGAAAATAGGTGAGCATGCACGCATTCGTGCACACACACAACACAACAATATTCAACAATATTCAATAAATCTATCGAAACAGGGAGATTGCCTGAGGCATGGAAGACAGCAAATGTAGTCCCAATCTTTAAAAAAGGAGACAGACATGAAGCACTAAACTACAGACCAGTGTCACTGACATGTATAGCATGCAAAGTCACGGAGAAGATTATCAGGAGAAGAGTGGTGGAACACCTAGAAAGGAATGATTTCATCAACAGCAGCCAACATGGTTTCAGGGAAGGGAAATCCTGTGTCACAAACCTACTGGAGTTCTATGACAGGGTGACAGCAGTAAGACAAGAGAGAGAGGGGTGGGTGGATTGCATTTTCTTGGACTGCAAGAAGGCATTTGACACAGTTCCACACAAGAGATTAGTGCAAAAACTGGAGGACCAAGCAGGGATAACAGGGAAGGCACTACAATGGGTCAGGGAATACTTGTCAGGAAGAAAGCAGTGAGTAACGGTACGTGGCGAGGTGTCAGAGTGGGTGCCTGTGACCAGCGGGGTCCCACAGGGGTCAGTCCTAGTACCAGTGCTGTTTCTGGTATTTGTGAACGACATAACGGAAGGAATAGACTCTGAAGTGTCCCTGTTTGCAGATGATGTGAAGTTGATGAGAAGAATTCATTCGATCAGAGACCAGGCAGAACTACAAAGGGATCTGGACAGGCTGCAGACCTGGTCCAGCAATTGGCTCCTGGAGTTCAACCCCACCAAGTGCAAAGTCATGAAGAGTGGGGAAGGGCAAAGAAGACCGCAGACGGAGTACAGTCTAGGGGGCCAGAGACTACAAACCTCATTCAAGGAAAAAGATCTTGTGGTGAGTATAACACCAGGCACATCTCCTGAAGCGCACATCAACCAAATAACTGCTGCAGCATATGGGCGCCTAGCAAACTTCAGAACAGCATTCCGACATCTTAATAAGGAATCGTTCAGGACCCTGTACACCGTGTACGTTAGGCCCATATTGGAGTATGCGGCACTAGTTTGGAACCCACACCTAGCCAAGCACATAAAGAAACTAGAGAAAGTGCAAAGGTTTGCAACAAGACTAGTCCCAGAGCTAAGGGGTATGTCCTACAAGGAGAGGTTAAGAGAAATCAACCTGACGACACTGGAGGACAGGAGAGATAGAGGGGACATGATAACGACATAAAAAATACTGAGAGGAATTGACAATGTGGACAAAGACAGGATGTTCCAGAGATGGGACACAGCAACAAGGGGACACAGTTGGAAGTTGAAGACACAGATGAATCACAGGGATGTTAGGAAGTATTTCTTCAATCACAGAGTAGTCAGGAAGTGGAACAGTTTGGGAAGCGATGCAGCGGAGGCAGGATCCATACATAGCTTTAAGCAGAGGTATGATAAAGCTCACGGTTCAGGGAGAGTGATCCAGTAGCGACCAGTGAAGAGGCGGGGCCAGGAGCTAGGACTCGGCCCCTGCAACCTCAACTAGGCGAGTACATACACGCATACACACACATACGTGCACAAACCATACCCCAGCCGGGATTGAACCCGCAGTCAGAGTCTCAAAACTCCAGCCCGTGAGTCACGTGTGCACACACTCGCACACACACGCACATACACACAGTTCTACTCCTGTAACCATAAATAGGTAATTCCATGGGTAACTGCACAAACACGCACACAAATCACAAAAAAATTATCCGAGAGTCCAGGTCATTAAACATTAATCCTCCCTTATGACATTTTTTGGCCATTATTCCAGTGTCTGCTAAAAAAAAACAGGTAACGAGAATAACTTGTGATTTTTGCTATAGCTAATGCAAGATGTGTGTTAAATTAAAAGCTTTAAAAAATGTGACTAAATAAATGTAGATTAATTATTACAAATTTTTAAGTTTTTAGGATAATTATTTTTTAAGCAAACAGCTGTCAAAAAATTCTTATTTTAATATCTATTAATTCCTAATGTATGCAACTATACTGTAAGTAAATTTTAATGAAAGGGTTTATTTATGAATTGGGAGCTATCCATCATGAATTGGGAGTTGTCTGTCACGAATTGGGAGCTCTTTGTTATGCACTGGGAGCTGTCTGTCATGAATTTGGAGCTATCCATCATGAACTGTGAATTATCCAACACGAATTGGGAACCATCTGCCACAAATTGGGAATTATCCGTCATGAACCGAGAGCTATCCGTCACGAATTGGGAGCTATCTGTCATGAACCGGGAGTTATCCATCATGAACTGTGAACTATCCAACATGAACTGGGAACTATCTGCCACAAATTGGAAATTATCCATCATGAATTGAGAGCTATCCATCATGAGTTGGGAGCTATCCATCATGAGTTGGGAGCTATCCATCATGAGTTGGGAGCTATCCATCACGAATTGGGAGCTATCCATCATGAGTTGGGAGCTATCCATCATGAGTTGGGAGCTATCCATCATGAGTTGGGAGCTATCCATCATGAGTTGGGAGCTATGCATCATGAGTTGGGAGCTATCCATCATGAGTTGGGAGCTATGCATCATGAGTTGGGAGCTATCCATCATGAGTTGGGAGCTATTCATCATGAGTTGGGAGCTATCCATCATGAGTTGGGAGATATCCATCATGAGTTGGGAGATATCCATCATGAGTTGGGAGATATCCATCATGAGTTGGGAGTTATCCATCGTGAATTGGGACATTTTTTGCAATAAAATGGGATATTTCTTAGTTTTTGTGACATATGTAATAAATTTATTAATTGGAAAAATACATGCTTTTTATGAAACCAAAGATTAAGATCTATACATATAAAATACTTTAAAAATGTTTCTAACAATCAAGCCATGCACACCACTTCTAATTACTGTACAATGAAGTCCCACTTATCCGGATCCCAGTGAACTGGAATGCTAGAAGCAATAAACAAATACCATTCCAGTTACAGTTGCTCATTGATCTGGATGCAATATTTCTAGGAGGAAGATGCCCCAACTGATGCAGCTTTGCATTTGCAAAGATATATGGTGCCATACCCAGTCAAGCTGAACAAAATCTTGGATCTTATATTCATCTAGTGGCTGGTGCCATATAGTGAAAGCATTCAACAGATCAGCTGCACAACAAACTATTTAAAAACCATGCTGATGGTCATATAGTCCTAAGAGTTTTACACATGACTGACATTATATGTAAAACTCAGTGCTCAGTTCTTCCTTATATGCACTGAGAATACTTTCCCGTGTTGGGGAGAGTCTGTCATGCAAGTTAGAGCCAATGTTGTCAGGCCGGCATACTTATGCAGCTGTCCTTGGCTTTCATTGTCTGGCCCAACAACCTTGATTCTTTGTCTTATCTGACTGGACTGTTTTTAATATTCAAGGATTTCATAAGATGCACAGTACTTACTGTCATCTTCATTAACTTTAACACGATTCATGCAATCAGCAAATTTGGCTAACTATCTGGATGTTAGAGTTATAACTTAACAGCAAAATGGCCTGCACATAGGTTAGCCATTTCTAGATTGCTCACAGCAAGTTTTATTGAGCCAATTTAGAGGTGGAATTGTATTAACCCTTAAACTGTCCAAACGTAGATCTACGTTTTTTCAACATTTGAAAGTATGTAAAAAAAAACAGATTTTTGTTTTTTTTACATTCGAAAACGTGTAAAAAAAACTTTGATCTACATTTTTTTTGTTATATTTGAAAATATGTAAAAAAACGTAGATCTACTTTTGGAGCACTATGCATGTGAACATAGATCTGTTTGGACAGTTTAAGGGTTAATGGATGATCATTTCTGTTTCTACTGGACTAAGCAGCAGCAGTTATGGAAGCTAGTTCCTCTTAATGATGCATTTTGTCATGTCTGATTTCTACTGAGAAATGACACAATGTTGGATATTCTCTCTTTTACTAACAGACAAGCGTCTTTTATATCTCCTACACTTGTATTCGTTATCAGCAGCCTCTTGGCAATGATATTACTCGAACCAAATATAAAATGAAGGCTTTGTCACTTGTTGCTCATGAAAGATGTACTTGCACTGAAGACACAGGATGTGAGTGGTGAAAGCATTTCTCTGTTGTAGGTACCACCCTGGCACAAGACATCCCATTTGATAGTATCAATCTCCTAGTGAAGGCTGGCCAGTTTCCCAGATTCCACTAACAGGTTGTGAAAAGCATTTTTTTTTTTTAATTTCTCTCTGTTGGGGTGTTCTTTGGAGTAAAGACAGTCTCATGATCAGGTTAGCAAATGTATCTAAGGAATCTGCAAGTAACTGCATAGGGTAGATCACTCATGACTAAGTCAAGGCAGAGGCTAAGATACAAGTGATAAAATTTACTTATCCCAGTTCAAAAACTGAAAGGAGCTAATCAAAGTTCCTCTGTACAAAGTGCTAGTCGAGATCATTAACAAATGTTATACATACTGTATATCAACAGTTATGATTCAGTAAAGGGAGTCTGTATTATCCATAAGTAATTTGATCAGGTCTGCACACTAGCAGGGAGATCCTAAAATTAATGTATATTACAATGTATTACTTTATGTTGAGCACTGAACCCATGTAGCTTTTTCAACACAAGGAATAGTGGAGGCTCAGCCTCCACTATTCCTCCACTACTAATATGAAAACATACATGTAAACTAACTGTATCCCAGGATTTTTATATAGATTAAAGAACAATTTCCAGAAAATCAGGAATGACAACATTAATCAGCTTGATATGTTTTGATGTATTAAAGGATATGGTAATACCTTTATTATAAACATACCTGTCTCATCTTTCCAAAAGTTGTAGGCAAAAAACTGATCAAATTTTCCAGGGTCTTGTTACCAAAGAATGCTTCCAAATTAACAAATATATCAAGATAAATGCTCACAAAACTGAGGGTGTGTGAGCTCTTCAACATTGGTTATGAAGCTTCTTTTGATGGTAGGCAATATGGAGATGGGCTGATTCCTAGCACACAGCTTAACTACTTGCCCTAAGGTGGGCCTTGGGGCAGGAAGATACTGGGACATATAAGAAATAAAACTGAATTAAAGATGGGACAGGACTTCAGTATCTGGGTGGGTGATGAGTGAACAGGTACATCAGATCTGAATAGTTCATGTTGGTGTTAACTACAGATTAGGTCTCTTAAAATCACTGGTCATGCCTAACTAGTTTTTCTTTGCTATGGCAGAGGCATCCTCTTCATGTCCTGTTTTGTGGCAGTGATTATGCTGTATGTGTTCTGGAAAGTTGCCAGTAATGTGTCCCCTTCAGAGACATCCAGAGGAATGTCTTTATGCCAGGGAAGGTGATGTTCTGGTCACCACACTAACTGTGCTTTCCTTCCCAGTCAGTATCTAAATTCTTTTGTAAAATCTGCTAACCCACCCACCCTCCCTCTTCTCTCTCTTACTTACACTTACACTTACTTACACACACACCCCTATTCATATGCTATTATATTGAGAATGCCCATTTTAAATATTTTCAGAAAATATTAAATAAAAATAGGTCTTCACTATGTATGCTTGTCTTGAAAGCATCCACCTACAGTCCACTACAATGGGGATGGTATATCATTTGCACTTTTCTATGTTATATGGGACACAACTCATGTGTGTCAAAAAGCTTGTGTCTTGTGACTTCTGCTCCCTCAACACCAAGTCTGCATTTAAAAGCAAATGCATTTATAAGGCTGCAGTTCAAAGACAATTATGAAAAGCTATAAAATGTGAAATACTGTATATAAAGTTTTTAAAATTCATAGCAGCAGTCCTTCAATTACATTACATGACAATGAATTATTAAGAATTTGAAGCAATCAATTCAAGCTCATTATAAATGTATGCACTCCTATACACATTTCTTCAGGTCATCTTATTAACATACAAGTTCAAAGTATTTTACTCCTATATCTTAACATCTTTCTGAAAATTAATTACACTTAATGCATGAAGTATTGCAGTCCTTTAAATTAAAGATGCCAATGTTTGAATGTAGCTTATGATTGGAACAGAAGTGCAGTTGTGACATACAGTAGGTGGGAATTGTTTAAAGTCAGAAGCAGAGGGTAACCAAGATAAAAAGAGAGATGAGGAAAAGGGTGCATAAGGAACTAACCTTGCTGATCTGGCTGTACACCCGACCTCCGCACGAAGGCTAAAAGAACATGGAAACACTCAACACTGATACTGGGATCACAGAGCGCACTCAAGGGGGAGCTTGGGGATTATAAGGTAACTTTTTAAGGGGATATTTATGATTTACATGCATCCATTCAGTTTTAAATCATAAAGAACAATATATAAAAATTGCAACAAGGGGATCTAATATTGTATAAAAAATCATTTGTTGTATGAAAAATGAATCCCCCTTGACTTTGCCTCCAGTTAAAGTAAAGGCGGCCACTACAAGTAGCAAAATAGGTCATCTGCAGAGATGAGGCCAAGTAATCCTAATAGAGCGAGAGTTTAGTGAGTGAGCACAAAGACAACAATATAATCTATATATACCACATTCAACATTGCCCAAATGGGGAGGGAGGGATGGATAACAAGTTCTACACAATGCCAATAAATTTAATATGATAAAGGATAAAATTATTTTTATACCTTAGCTCTTAATATAAATAAAAGTACCTCTACATTAAGCAAAAATAAGATACATAACAAATTATCAATAACCCATTACATTCTTTAAGTGTCAGTTGTATATAATTTCTTTGTGCATCACTGTAGACATTGAAATATACAATATCTACGTGGTTTCAACTCTGTCCGTCCCTCCATCCTGTGTTGTCTCGGGGACCATTGTTCACCACAAACACAGACCAAAGCTTTACATTAATACTGCTCAAAGCTTACTTTAAACATTAAAATGAGGACAATAGTAGTACTGGCATAATTATTAGATATAAAATCATTTCAACTATATCAGACATTGTTAGCAAAATCTGTATGGCATCAACTTATCACAAGATTTAGTGTTTACAGACTAATAAATGAAATAATATGAGCTGCATGCCATTACTGCTAAAGCAGTTTTTTCCAAGTGTTATATTAATGCAATCTCTACATGGTTCTTCACATAACTGTTTTTTGTACATTACAGTTTGTACTGTTATCAACATAGCATACACTTCTTTGGGTACAAAAGTCACTGCAAAAACATTCAATACAAAAATAAACCTTGAGCAGTTTTTCAAATTGATGTTATTGAGCCTGTGCTTACATGATCTTATACTACCCAGCTTCAGCACACAAGTCCTGCATTATTCTACCTATGTGTGTGTGGCAGGTGAAAGAAATATTTTCCCTCTACTTCCTGTAGCATCTTGCTTATACTACTCTGATATTTACATTTTTATCCTTAAATCTTATGTAAGCTCTCATTTTACTGTAGCTTTTATGACAGCACTATCGCATTTCTCACACTATACTGAGTCTCAAGTAATCTCAATCCTTATTCTAAATGACATAGTACATACAGTACACGGGCCTTGAATAACCCAGTAATTGCATTCTTGAAAACAGAGTATTACACAAAATCAGGTTAAACAAACTGAAGAATATATGGATAAAATATGGTTACATGCTTGGAACTTCTCCAAAAGTCAAACAATTTTTAAATTTATTTCATCAAAAATAATTAATTTTTAACACCTTACATTGTAGATGTCATTGCTTGTTGATCCACAAATATATACTGTATACCCAAGCCCTAAATAAAATCCTAGTTACTAAACTGGAGTTCCATCCAATGACAAAAGAGAGTGTTAATATGCCACTAATGACTATTATAAGTTTAATATACAATCTTATCAGCATAAAATATATCAAGTGAAAAGCAACAAGAAAGAATTTTACCCTACCTTAAATTCTTTGTTTCTCTTGGTTCTAGATGTGAAAGTATTTGGAGGCTTATTTGGCTCAATTGAGAAATAGAAGGGTGTGGGTCATCTATTTTATTAGCAGATGCCCCTCGTATATTTTATTATACAATTTCTCATGTTTGTAAGTGACAAGGAATAATTTTATCATACCTTAAATTCCTTATTCTCCTGCTTGTTGATAAGGAAATGTTTGGAGTTACACAGTTGTAGTGCTGTGTATGTCATCACCCTATATGACCCTACTGGAAGCCATTTTTGTAAATTCCATATTGTCAAGATATTTAACCTTCTTAACCCTTTGACTGTCGCGGCCATATATATACGTCTTACGAGGTACCGTGTTTGACGTATATATACTCATAAATTCTAGCGGGTTCAAATCAAGCAGGAGAAAGCTGGTAGGCCCACATGTGAGAGAATGGGTCTGTGTGGTCAGTGTGCACCATATAAAAAAATCCTGGAGCACGCAGTGCATAATGAGAAAAAAAAAACTGACCATTTTTTTTAATTAAAATGCCGACTTTGTGGTCTATTTTAATATAGTATTTATAGTTGTATTCTCATTTTCTTGGTCTCATTTGATAGAATGGAAAACATATTATAGAAATAGAGGTGATTTTGATTGATTTTACTATAAAAAGAACTTCGAAATGGAGCTCAAAGTAGGGGAAATGTTTGATTTTTGCCAATGTTCAAAAGTAAACAAATGATGTCATTGTCCAATAAATGTCCAACTAGCCATTCTAATATGCAGTCATGAATGGGTTGATGTTATTTATACAATTATTACAGTATTGCAGTAGTCTGCATAATAGTAAGTCTTCTATTTTTTGTTTGAATAAAAATTCAAAATAGAAAGCAAGAGTAATATCAGAGGGGCCTGGAGACATGACTGATGAACAAAGAAAATGTTATTTTAGAGCCAGGAATGTCTGCATTGTTCATTCTGGACCTTATTTTGAAATTGTCATATTTTTTAATTTTCGTGAAATTGGCCAAATTGCAAATTTCTGACCACATTATTGGGTAGTTGAAATCGGTAAATGGGCAGTTTCTTGTACTCAATCGATAGAAAAAATGGAGTTCTAAAGAAATAGCTATGAGTTTGGTCGACTGGATCAATGAAATTAGCCGAAAATAGGGCTCAAAGTGGGCGAAACCGCCGATTTGTAAATATCGCCGAGGTCGCTAACTTCGTGAGAGCATAATTCCGTCAGTTTTCCATCAAATTTCGTGTTTTTTGGTGTCATTACAATCGGGAAAAGATTCTCTATCATTTCATAAGAAAAAATAATTTTTTTTTTTTTTTTGAAATTTTGTGACACCAGGAGACACCTCAGGATTGGGGGTTGCGACAGTCAAAGGGTTAAATGTTCTAGCTAAGCCTTATCAATTGCTGTTACTTACCCAGTATAACAGCTGATAACTCTTACCAAGGCTGAACATAGCTTACCCTAAGCATTATTATTATTACGTACATGGGAAACACTAAACCTACCAGGATCATACAGAGTCTGAAGAATGGGAGGTAATGAGGTTTGATCCAAGGAATGGAAGAGCATCTCCAATTCCTTGTATCAAGAGCTCTTCTCCACCACCTAGGCACCCCTCTCCCTGTCCTTGAAGAACAAATCTTTGAACATTCTACACGAGTAACTGGTAGACTACCACCATATACAATATGTACATGTATATGTATTTTAACCGAGTTTCGTGTACTTCCGCAAATTAAAGATTTATATACATAGGGAATAAACATAATAATTCACTTATTTACCTGCACCATACTGCTAATGCCACTACATGTGAGCAGCAATACTACAGTATTTATTAAACAGCAATTGATCAGACATGTAAATTTATTTGTTAAATGCAGCTAGCTAACTCGTGCTGTAATAGGAAATTTTATTTAGCATACATACTGAGGTATTTAAGACTCGAGATAGAGAAGCACATTTACAAAGGTACCTTTATGCTTGAAGGTGAGAGAGAATACAAGTAAACACAACATGGTTACCTGCAGGAAGACACTAGTTATACACGCAATGCAAATTTTTCAATTTAATTTCAAGATTTTCTTTCTAAGTTGGTAGTAAACATCGGAAATGAACTATGAATGGTTATCGAAACATTTTATTTTCATTCTAAATGAATGTGTAGGACTGTAGGTGCAGCAGAAACAATAATAATATAACAATAATATAATTATTATTAAAGCATTATTATTGTTTTTATTATAATCAAGGAAAAGTACCAAACTCACAGTGGTCATATAGCACTTGATCCAAGGAAGGGTAGTTCCAATTCAATGGATCAAGAGCCTTTTGCTAGCATCAAGGCACCCTTCCTCCTCTTTTACAATTCACGTGAAGAATTTCTGATGCTTTAAAAAGAGGTGAGGATAACCTTCAGCTTTTCTCCCCATGAACTTCTGGTTCAGTACTATACAGCACTCCAGCTTCTAGAAAAATTTCAGTGATGGCTAAAGCTCTGATTAATACTTCCAATGTTAATTTATTTACTCATGTGATTTCTTTCAGTTTGGCAGTCTTATGCTCGGTAAAACATGTGTACAGATAAACCCCAAAATTCATGTGCTGCCTAATAAGCACATTTTTCTGAAAACAATCTCATGAGTAGCTTTGATTAGTCACCTTTTTTTCCCTTGATTTCCATTGCCATTTTTCTTGGTAAAGAACCTCTAAACTGAAAACTAACCATAGGATTTGATTCAAAGTGTGCTCATTCTTTCTTAGGATCAAAGAAGCATCAGAGGATACACTTTCTTTGGTGCTGTGGCTGATACCTCTGGCAGTTACTTGTATATCCAGTACAGTATCTATTACTCTTGTGGCTGCTAATGTGCTTAGTGCCTTGCCTTGTTTGTCTCCATGATGGTTGGGGGATGGAGAGATAATGGCATATTTTTGTTGACAGTCCTTGAAGACCACAATATCTATTTCAGAATCTGTAAGCAGGTGGGCAATCAGGCACACTTAACTTGTGGTCCCTGCAAGTGATTCACACCACTGATTCCTGGTATTCACATCATCCTTCACATTTAATGCTGGCTGTATCACATTTTCAGCAAACTCTACAGGGCTGTATTTTGCCATGACCCTGTCAAAAACAAGAGTTCAGGATAATGAACATGCACATTCTTTTGTGTGCTCTGTGGTTCATGATCTTAAAATCTCTTGTAAGCAGTTATTTTCCAACTATTATGCAGTACTAACTCAGCACATGAGACCAACAAATTGTTTCAATCAAAACTTTTCCACTGTCAGTTACAATAAATAATACTCTCAAGCCTGCAAAGTGATTACACCAGATTTCCATATGGTCATTACCTTTAGGGATTCCAGAAATGCTTTAACTGTCAGGTTGTGCTGCCAGTTCATCTCATGCTTGATTTTCCCATAAACCAAAGAAGATCCATATATTTTTTTTTATTTCTTCTTCAATACCATTACAGTGGAACCTCAAAAATCGAACTGCTCCCAACACGACCAATTATGTAAGTGTATTTTTGTAAGTGCTTTTATAAGTGTATTTTTGAGGGTCTGAAATGGACTAATCTAATTTACATTATTCCTGATGGGAATAAATTCATTCGGTAAAGGCACTCGAACAGCTTTCTGGACCGAAGAAAGTTCGATATTTGAGGTTCCACTGTACATACCTGCTCTTTCTGCCCTTCTTTCTAACAGTCAATTTTTAATTCCTTTTTTCTCTTTTGGACATTTTTTTAACTGCAAATGGTTAACTACATTGACTGATTCCCTCCCATCCTCTTCTGTCAACTGCTTTACCCTTGTCGTGGAACACAGAATGGCAATGTGAGTTTAGCAATGTCCTTAAGTGCAATACAGTGATCACTCTAGATCATACTGATGTTATTCAAGTAGTGAGGTTTTATACAATTTCATCTATGTACAGTACCACACATGGTATAAAAACTCCATCCTCCTACATCTAATTTTAGGTAGAGATGAAATAAAATATAAAATAAATAACACTGAAATTAAAAGTCGAGTATACAGTGAATTTATCTCAATAATATATCATTTACCTTACTGTACAGTAATTATAACTGTCTAAGGTGGCATGAAACCAAACTTTAAATGAAATCAACTAATACTGAAGCTTTAGAGTACACAAGTGACTAGCTCTATTGATCATACAGTTGGTTTAAACCACTTCTATGTACCATTTACTTCTGTGGGTGAATCTAGCCTTCCCAAATTTTCCAAGAAATTTCGAAAATTTAATATTTAAAATGAAACTTTCAATAACTTTTGACAGAAATTCATATGAAACTATTCTGTATATCATACAATAATTAGGATAATTAGAAAGTACATAGTTTGCATAATCTCTCACCAACAGCATTTACACCACCTATAGTTTTTCTATACACCATAGCCACTGTGTTACACTCACAGTACTCTCACATCCATACTTCAAACAGACAAAGTTGGACATATTTACCGAAATCTCTAGTTCATTGTTGAGGTCCGGTTCGTCCTCGCTGAAGACTGCGGAAGCCAGGGTAAAAGCAGCTCAGTAAACACGCCAACAACACTCTGGTACACTTTTATTTTTAGCGTATTTAAGTAAAAGATCTAATCTCTATCAAACAGAGAACTTAAAAACAAGCATTTGTAAATTACAAATACAAGTAATTATTAATTTTATGAAAACTTCACACTTCTAAACTACTTAATGCATTCTAGTGAATCAATATAAGTATTGACAGACTGATGTAATTAATAAAACTAGTCAATGTATATTTAGAGTTGCATAATGGTTGTAGAACCATGTTCAAAAATACACTCAGGTCAAGAGAGGATCACAAATCAGTACCACCACTCTGCACATGTTTGAGTGTCACTCCTGTGCTTCATTTACACATGATGTACACATGAACACTGATGATATAGTGATCATGTTTTCAAGTGCAAATAGAAGCAATGTAGCAATACACTCTGAGCACTTTACTATGGAGTACTGATGCATGAATGATTGCTCATCTTAAGTGTATTCCTTGAGTACAGTCCCAGGAGTTACATGATGGTGTAAGTGATAGTTAAAGTGAGTGCCTACTGACACATTGGTTTGAGCTGGCTGATGAGTTCTTCTTTGGTCCACTCCTTTTTGTCTGCCCAGAGGGAGATACTGGAGGCCATGACTAGCTTGTTGTCATCTGGGTATGGTACGTTCAGATAGTGCACTAACACAATGTCTGGGTTCTGAAACAGTGGAAACAATTAGCAAACTCTTAACTACACACATGATACCTCTCAACAATCCCTTCCAGGAATAAGTTCCCTCTTCCCAAAAAATCCCTTCCTTCCATTATTCTTAGTACAATATAAAAAAAGGATACACTACTGCACTGGAAGTTTAACCCTTTGAGTGGCCATCAAGTAGATATATGTTTTTGATGCCAGGGTCCCTCATATAGATCTATGTCATGAGCTCACCTCACTCATACAAGCTGGTAGTGATAAATTTTGGCCTAGATATGAGAGAATGGATCTGTGCGCTGAGTGTGTATAACAAAAACAAATCTTGCCCCATTTGGTGCACGATAGGAAAAGCAAAACTCTGACCTTGTGTTTGATTTAAAATGGCAACTTTGAAGTGTTTTCTTATATGTTTTTATGGTTTTATTGGCTCTTTCTTGGCATCATTTGATAGAATGGAAGACATACTACTGAAACCGAGATGATTTTGGTTGGTTTCAGGACTGGTAGTAGTTTGAAACTGGGCTCAAATTAGCAGAAATATTCGATTTTTGCCATTTTCCTGATGGGCAAGGCCTCACTACACCCCCAGTCTGTTTTATGGACTTTTAATAAGCCTGATTCAATTGTTGGGATGCTGTAAACCATGACCAATCATTGCTGGTTATATTATTATTGTATGAGAGTATAGTTTTACCAACGCTCTTATATGGGTGTGAAGCATGGGTGATGAATGTTGCAGCGAGGAGAAGGCTGGAGGCAGTGGAGATGTCATGTCTGAGAGCAATGTGTGGTGTGAATATAATGCAGAGAATTCGTAGTTTGGAAGTTAGGAGGAGGTGCGGGATTATCAAAACTGTTGTCCAGAGGGCTGAGGAAGGGTTGTTGAGGTGGTTCGGACATGTGGAGAGAATGGAGCGAAACAGAATAACTTCAAGAGTGTATCAGTCTGTAGTGGAAGGAAGGCGGAGTAGGGGTCGGCCTAGGAAAGGTTGGAGGGAGGGGGTAAAGGAGGTTTTGTGTGCGAGGGGCTTGGACTTCCAGCAGGCATGCGTGAGCGTGTTTGATAGGAGTGAATGGAGACAAATGGTTTTTAATACTTGACGTGCTGTTGGAGTGTGAGCAAAGTAACATTTATGAAGGGGTTCAGGGAAACCGGCAGACCGGACTTGAGTCCTGGAGATGGGAAGTACAGTGCCTGCACTCTGAAGGAGGGGTGTTAATGTTGCAGTCTAAAAACTGAAGTGTAAAGCATCCTTCTGGCAAGACAGTGATGGAGTGAATGATGGTGAAAGTTTTTCTTTTTCGGGGCCACCCTGCCTTGGTGGGAATCGGCCAGTGTGATAAAAAAAAAAAATTATTATTATCTGAGAAACAGGGTGCAATTTTCAATTTTGCAAGAAAAGCAAGTGTAATATATGCAAGACCTGGAAACATGAGTAATGAACAGAGGAAATGTTGCTTTAGTGCCTGTCAGGTGTACATTGTTTACTTTAAACTATTTTTGAATTTACACAAAATTATTTTGTGTAAAACTGGCCAAATTACCGATTTCCGTAACTGAATTGGCTTTTTCTTGTGCTCAACTAATAGAACAGAAGCCACACTAGCGAAACAGCTAAGAATATGGTTAAATCTAGTAATGTAATTGGCTTAAAATAGGGCTCAAGGTGGGCAAAATTGCCAAAGCATAACTTGCGCCCAGATCACTAACTTTGTGCCTGCATAATTCCACAAATTTTCCACTAAATTTCATACTTTGGGTGTCATCACCTTCATGAAAGATTCTCTAAAATTTCAATAGTGTTTTTTAAAGTGGACAGTGGGAGCAATATTAATTTTGAGAGTCTGGACATTGAAAGAGTTAATTAAGATAGAATATATAATGTTTTGTCTTGAAGTATGACCCCAAAATATGGTTTGTATTATAAATTATTAAAGGATTATTTTTTTTAAGAATGACTGATTGCACTGAGAGCAGTCAGTGTACTCTGGAGGGAGCTCAGACTCAGGCTGGATGAAGAAATGTGAGGTAAGAGGTTGAGGATGTAGAGGCCAGGATGAGGTAGGTGGGAGAGGGTGTAGAAGCCAAGGTGAGGGTGAAGAAGACAAGGTGAGAGTGTAAAAGCTAGGGTGAGGATGTAGAAGCCAGAGCGAGGGTGTAGAAGCCAGGGTGAGGGTGTAGAAGCCAGGGTGAGGGTGTATAAGTCAGGGTGAGGATGTAGAGGCCAGAGTGAGAGTGTAGAAGCCAGGGTGAGCATGTAGAAGCCAGGGTGAGATAATGCAAGCCAGCACTCACCTGCAGAAGCCAGTAGCACCGACGGTGGAAGGTAGGCAAGATAGCCGAGTGCACATAGCACCCATAGATGCACTGCAAATGCAAGAACAATAATAATAATTATCATAAAACATTCAATTGCATTAAGGTGAATAAGAGACTTATCCTAACACAGAGCAGCATTTGTATCTTACCATAACAACACTTTCCAAAAATTACAACAATCACTGAATCAACTAATTTGAATGATCATCTTACTAAGGTGCCTCCTGAAGTCAACTTCTTTTTCAAATGTCCAAACTTCTTGACCTTTTCTCAGGGAATGTACATAATATCATTCTCATTATATGGAAAATGTAGGGTGGATATCAGATGAAAAACAAAAAAGCTAAAGATAATTTCTGAATTATTTGTTTTGTATTAAAGTTCAAAATTCTGTACATTTAAGAAAAGAAGATAGGTTCATGCTATTTAAGGAATAAATAGCCGAGCTGTTTAATGCGAAAAGAGTGATAACAAAAAAGTGACTTCGTTACTTTGGTTAGGTTGCATCAACACTTTTTTTACTTTTTTTCCCAAATAAAACATCTCCTTTGTCATAAATCGAAGAACTTTTGTTAAAAAGCAGAGAAAAAGTCCCTAATTCCTCTCAGTTTTCAAAATGGTCACCCCTAAATAAAAACTATGAATCACCTTATATCTGCAGTACTACTTGTAAGTAGCAACTCAGGAAGGTACTAATTGGGAACTCAAATTAATTAATCACCATATATTTACGTTACTAATCATAAACAGCATGTTCACAGAAAAGGGGATTAGCAAACCACAATTTATCAGTTGTCAGCATCACATTCTGGACAGGATTCTTAGTTTGGTAATGATGAAAATCTTGGTGCTGAAACCAGTTCTCCAAACATCGAGTATCCATTTGTATCCCAACTGGTGAAGAATTATGAGGAACTAAAAGCACAGTTTGTTAATGGAACAGAAGAGATCCTCCATAAGTCAGGATGGAGAGATGATATGAAGTTTTTGTACGATTCTTTGAAGATAAAGGGCACTTTCCTTTGATTTAATTTTCAGAAAATTTCAAACATCAGCAATACGAGGTAAAATTAAAGAGCCATTCTAGCTATTCTTGCATTCATTCTTATACCTACAAGACGGAAGACTTTGGAGAAGATATGCAGATTCATTTCATACACCTGTGCAAATTATTAGTTTACTGATCAGATGTACGATGAAAATGACTTCAAGAATTTGTCAGAAATATTGAAATCTTACAAAAAAGCACTGAACTCATTGAAAAATCACTGGAAGCAGGAGCCATCCACACTGAATATACCAAGAAGTAATCAGTGTGCTGAATGTGCAATCAAAGTTATGCAGGAACTGTAAGCTGCCTGCAGAAACAAAAAACAAACTGCAACTTTGGTTTATTCTAAGCAATAACTAGTAATATATGTACAAACATAATAACAATGATGCTGTAAGCTGCTTTATTTTTTATTAATATTACATGCAATATGCATTCAAGTTACCTGCTGTCATTACACGTTTTTTTTTATTTAGGGATGACATTTTCTAAAAATATATTGAAATGAAAGGTCATTTCTTTGCTTTAGGCAAAAGTTCATCTGATTAAGGTGCAGGAATTTTACGTTGTAAAAAAGTTATAACCCTAATATACACCCTCTCTCATATCTAGCATGCTACTGACCCAACCATTCTCCTCTCCTCTCCTCTCCTCTCCTCAGTTACTGGTATCCTAAACCTGTCACATGGTGAATTAGTTACTATTATTAATTTTCACATGTAAAAACCTGTTCCTGATGTCTGGGAAATTAATAAATGAAATATACATGCATACATACAATTATTTATTTTATATTATCACACTGGCCTATTCCCACCAAGGCAGGGTGGCCCGAAAAAGAAAAATTTTCACCATCATTCACTCCATCACTGTCTTGCCAGAAGGGTGCTTTACACTACAGTTTTTAAACTGCAACATTAACACCCCTCCTTCAGAGTGCAGGCACTGTACTTCCCATCTCCAGGACTCAAGTCCGGCCTGCCGGTTTCCCTGAACCCCTTCATAAATGTTACTTTGCTTACACTCCAACAGCACGTCAAGTATTAAAAACCATTTGTCTCCATTCACTCCTATCAAACACGCTCACGCATGCCTGCTGGAAGTCCAAGCCCCTCGCACACAAAACCTCCTTTACCCCCTCCCTCCAACCTTTCCTAGGCCGACCCCTACCCAGCCTTCCTTCCACTACAGACTGATACACTCTTGAAGTCATTCTGTTTTGCTCCATTCTTTCTACATGTCCGAACCACCTCAACAACCCTTCCTCAGCCCTCTGGACAACAGTTTTGGTAATCCCGCACCTCCTCCTAACTTCCAAACTACGAATTTTCTGCATTATATTCACACCACACATTGCCCTCAGACATGACATCTCCACTGCCTCCAGCCTTCTACAATTATGTTCTCTATATCAGGAGTGAAGATTCCACTCTTGGCAAAGTTTGTTTTAATTAATGCTAGGAACTGAGCATCTTCACCTCCACACTTCAAAAAACATCTTGGGGAATCTAATGATTATAATTACAACCAAAATAACCAAAAAGCTAGCAGAAGGCCTTGGTCAGATGATCAAAAGCTTCAGCTCTGGGTCATCAAATAACTAAGACCGGCATCAGGAAAAACTTGTCCTGTTTCCTGACAGACCTTACCTAACCTAACCTTGGGATGATGTGTTAGAGGGTCGGCGGCAGGAATTAAGACATTTGTCTGTCTCATTAAGGAGAAGTTGGTTAATAACTCATTAGAGCAACACTACTTACAAGTCCATTAACATAGAAACTTGCAAAACTTGCTGTTAAAATTAACATAACACTAGTCAAAGAGATTATAACAAGCACTTATGGTTATCTGGAAGTTAGTGTTCAATAGCTATTTGAAATAAAATTGAGAAATATAAATGGCTTTTAATACTTGACGTGCTGTTAGCGTGTGAGCAAAGTAACATTTATGAAGGGATTCAGGGAAACCGACAGGCCGGACTTGAGTCCTGGAGATGGGAAATACAGTGTCTACACTCTGAAGAAGGGGTGTTAATGTTGCAGTTTTATAACTGTAGTGTAAAGCACCCCTCTGGCAAGACAGTGATGGAGTGAATGATGATGAAAGTTTTTCTTTTTCGGGCCACCCTGCCTTGGTGGGAATTGGCTGATGTGTTAATAAAAAAATAATTTTTATTTTGTTTTAGAGAAAACGATAAACCCATTAGGGTCATACAGTAATGAAATTTTAAAGAATAAGACAACATCCTCACTAATTATATTAGTGAGGATGAGGGTGGCCAACCAAACACACATACATACAAACAACAACAACAACAACAACAACAACAACAACAACAACAACAACAACAACCATACTCAGCAATGTTACTGACTTGATTTTCCCAGACTTATCTCAAACACCCACCCACCCTTACTCTCGACCAGCCCACCCACCCCTTCTTGTATACCCCATCCACCCTTATCCTCGCTCTCGCACAGTCTACCCACCCACCCTCATTCTCGCATTCTCGATGGGGTTTTGATGAAATGGAAAGCATGGGCGACATTGGAGAAGGGGACTACATAGTGGCTACAATTCAGACTGGGGAACATTGCAGTGATGTATAACCCATCACAAACCTGCAGGAGGCCAAGAGAGGAATATGAAGAGAACAACAGAGCGATGGTAGACACACTGGCTGAGGTGGAACGAAGAGCTCAGTTGTGCAGAGCAAAGTTACTGGTTATGGGTGATTTCAACCACAGGGAGACTGACTGGGAAAACCTGGAGCCTCACGGGAGTCCTGACACATGGAGAGCCAAGATGATGGATGTGGCACTGGAAAACCTCATGCATCAACATGTCAGGGACACTACCAGAGAGAGAGGGGAGGATGAACCAGCAAGACTAGACCTTGTATTCACCCTGAGCAGTTCAGACATTGAGGACATCACATATGAGAGGCCCCTTGGAGCTAGCGATCATGTGGTTCTGAGTTTTGATTACATAGTAGAGCTGCAAGTGGAGAGGGTAACAGGAGTCGATTGGGAAAAGCCAAACTATAAAAGAGACTACACAGGTATGAGGAACGTCCTGCGGGAGGTTCAGTGGGACAGAGAACTGGTAGGAAAGTCAGTAAATGAAATGATGAAATATGTAACAACAAAATGCAAGGAGGCAGAGGAAAGGTTTGTTCCCAAGGGCAACAGAATTAATGGGAAGACCAAAGCGAGTCCTTGGTTTACCCAAAGGTGTAGGGAGGCAAAAACTAAGTTCATTAGTGAATGGAAGAGATACAGAAGGCAAAGGACCCAGGAAAATAAAAAGATCAGTTGAAGAGCCAGAAACAAGTATGCACAGTAGAGCGAGGCCCAGCAACAGTATGAAAATGACATAGCATCAAAAGTCAAGTCTGACCCAAAACTGCTCTATAGCCACATTAGGAGAAAGACAACAGTCACAATCCAGGTGATCAATCTGAGGAAAGAAGGTGGGGAACTCACACGAAACGATCAAGAGGTATGCGAGGAGCTCAACAAGAGATTTAAGGAAGTATTCACAGTGGAGACAGGAAGGACTCTGGGAAAACAGGACAGAGGTGGACACCAACAGGGAATACACCAACAAGTGCTGGATGACATACACACAACTGAGGAGGAGGTGAAGAAGCTGCTAAGTGACCTTGATACCTCAAAGGCAATGGGACTGGACAACATCTCCCCGTGGGTCCTTAGAGAGGGAGCAGAAATGCTGTGTGTCCCATTAACCACAATCTTCAACACATCCCTTGAAACTGGGAAACTACCTGAGGTATGGAAGACGGCAAATGTAGTTCCCATTTTTAAAAATGGAGACAGAAAAGACACGCTAACCTACAGACCAGTGTCACTGACGTGTATAGTATGCAAAGTCATGGAGATTATCAGGAGGAGACTGGTGGAACACCTGGAATGAAACAAAAGTATAAATAACAACCAGCACAGTTTCATGGAAGGCAAATCCTGTGTCACAAACC